CTACCAGGGAGAGGGCGAGGACCGTGGGTACTACCAGGGAGGCGGTGATGGCGGCGGCGGAAGAGGGCGTGGGTACCAAGGCGGCGGCGATGGCGGTGGCCGCGGCCGAGGACGCGGCTACCAAGGCGGCGGCGGCGATGGTGGAGGCCGCGGCCGTGGCTACGAAGGTGCTGGCGATGGCGGGCGCGGCCGAGGCCGTGGCTATCAGCAGGGCGGCAACGACTACGGCGGCGGCCTTGGTGGCAGCAACTACGGCGGTGGCCGTGGTGGCAACAACTACGGCGGCCGCGGTGGCAGAGGAAGAGGCCAGAACCAGCCCGACCCCCTCGCTCTCCAAGTCGCGGGGCCTCCCCTCTCCGAGCGCTACCACACAGAGGCGGCCCAGCTCCGGGAGAAGTTCCAGGCGATGGCCATCAGCCGTGCCGAGCCGATGTTCCCGGGCCGCCCTGGGTTCGGCTCCAAGGGGCAGGTGTGCGTGGTGAGGGCCAACCACTTCTTCGTCGGCCTCGTGGACAAGGGCCTGCACCAGTACGACGTACGTTCCCCTCGATCGCCACTACTTTCTTCTCAGGTTTGCACTGCTCAGTGCTCACTGACGTGGCCATATTTTGTGCGCTTATTTCTTGATTTCAGGTGGCCATGTCGCCGGAGCCGACCATGACGGGCGTTTTCCGAGCTGTCATGTCCACTCTTGTGAAGGAGCACCAGGACACCACTCTTGGCGGTCGCCTCCCAGCTTACGACGGCCGCAAGAGCCTGTACACCGCGGGCGAGCTGCCCTTTACAACCAAGGAGTTCGAGGTCACCTTACCTGACAAAAATCCAGGTCCACCTGGGCAAAGGTAAACTCAGTCAGTCAGTCAGTGTGCCACACGACATGACAAAATGAGCAGATCAGGTTCCCCATGACATGTTGTATGTTTGCAGGAGGGAGAGGAAGTTCAAGGTGACCATCAAGCACGCCACCCTGGTCAGCCTGCAGCAGCTGCAGATGCTCATGTCCGGGATCCCCACGGACATACCTGCGCAGGCGCTGCAGGTGCTCGACATTGTGTTGCGTGACATCGTGCTCAACGAACGGGATGACATGGGGTAACAACTGATCTCTGCCCTTTGCCTCGTTAGTCGTCATCGATCATTTTGCATGATCTTCTGATTCGGGATTGGGACTTGTTGTCACTGTTTGCCTTAGGTTCGTCCCGGTAGGCCGGTCTTTCTTCTCGCGGACCGTCGAGGATCCCATCCAGTTAGGCCAGGGCATCGAAGGATGGAATGGGTTCTACCAGAGCATCAGACCCACCCAAAGTGGATTGTCCCTCAACATTGGTCAGTGACATGTATTCCTTGCATTCTGTTTCCACTTACCTGCAACATGTTGTGCCAGGATGCATGAATGATGGGAAAATATGCGTACTTGCCAATCAATGTACTGTGAATTTTGGATTGCAGACATGTCTTCGACTGCTTTTGTTGGAGGGGGGTCGCTGATTGATTTCATCAAGGAGATTCTTAACAGGAGAGATCTCTCTCGCGGCATTCAAAATGAACTTGATTATGTGAAGGTATGCATATTTTCTGTATCAAATGTATCGCGACCAAGTTGCTGCTGTGGTGGTATATGGTAGGTCATGGTTGTGCGTTCCGCTGCAGATTAAGAAGGCCCTCAGGGGTCTAAGGGTTGAGGTCACCCACCGAGGACAGATGCGCAGGAAATACCGCATCGCTGGCTTGACAAAGGATTCTGCCAGAGAATTGAGGTTCCAATTATCGACCGGCGAAAGCAAGACTGTGAGGGACTACTTTCGAGAAACCTACAAGCTGCAGCTGCGTTACGATTTTCTCCGATGCCTGCAAGTTGGTACAGAACAGAAACCCAACTATCTTCCAATAGAGGTCTGTGCAGAAATGGACTTAATCTTCTCGACGTACTTCCATATGTTCTACACCAATCACTTTCATATGTTCTGAACTTCTGATGCAACTTTCTTTTTGCATTGTACGTAGCATATGTTCTGATAAATACACTTGCCATTGCTCTTCAGGTCTGCAATATAGTTCCAGGACAGCGGTACCAAAAGAAGCTGGATGACAGCCAGGTTTCTAAAATGATGGCTATAGCCTGCCAGAGTCCAGCTGGGCGTGAGACCTCCATTCGCAAGGTGATTTCTTCTGCTGTCTTTTCTGCATGGAACTTTTTTGTCAGATGAAAGAGTCTAGCAAAGTTTGTTTTGAACCTTTCACTGATCCTGTCTTTCCTTTTTCTCTCAGTCTGTTCTGGAGAATAAATATAACAGTGCCAAACGTGCAAATGAGTTTGGTATAGAAGTTGACAGCAACCCAACTTCTGTTCGGGCTAGAGTTCTGCCTGCTCCAAAGGTAACCAACCCCACTTCCTATATTTGCAGCGCTCTTCTCTGCCATCTTGTACTACTACTACTCTGATCGGCTCGTGTTTGATTTTTTCTTGTTGTAGCTGAGGTACCATGGTACTGAGTCTTGCTTCCCAGAAAATGGGGCGTGGAACATGAGAGGCAAGGTACACTATGAGTAACTTCCAACATTCTTTATACACTAGTGACAGAGCACTTTTCCAATAGTACAAGTGCACAACTAATAATTGTTTGCATGTTTGAATGTGTAATCAAGGTGAACACTTTATTTTGGTCAGGTACTTTAGGACACCTTTTAAAGTCAATTTTCCAGTGGCGCAAGTTTTTCAGTTATACTTTCTATAGAAGCTTTGTTCTTCAAACTTCAAAATATAATGATAGCGGTTTTTTTAGTTGCATTATTCTCCTGTTTATATCTAGTACACCTTGCTGTCATCCTTAAAATTTATGGAATTCTCCTGGTTCTATCTGTGGAAAGTACTTAAAGCATGATTGGTAATTGTATATATTTGTTTTGATTAGTCTACATCTCGTAAGAAATTCACTTTGACGTGCAGAAAGTCATAAATGGTGCCAAGGTTGGTATTTGGGCATGTGTAAACTTTTGCAATGAGTTGCCTGAGGATGAAGTTCGTATCTTCTGCCACAAACTGAGTGAAATGTCCTCCACAACTGGAGTGGTAAATTTTCCTGACTATCCCTTGTAATTGTATTGTGGCCTGAATTTTCTTCCAGTGATAAGTCTTTTTCCATCTGATTTGCAGAACTTCAACGGTGCAAAACTTAAGATATTCCATGCTCGTTCAGATCAAGTTGAAGCCAAACTCCGTGAAGTACGTCAGCAAGCGGGGAATATGAAGATTGACCTCTTACTTGCTATATTGCCAAATAAAAATGGCAGCCTGTATGGTAATGTTGAAGTAGATTTGATTCCTTTGCAGATGTCATCATGACATATCCATGCCTGATGTCATTTGTTCCACAGGTGATATTAAAAGGATCTGTGAAACAGACATTGGTCTGATGTCGCAGTGTTGTCTACTTAAAAATGTCGAGAAATCAAGTCCTCAGTTTCTTGCGAATGTTGCTCTTAAGATCAATGCCAAGGTAAACTCAATTTCAATTGTAAAACTTAGTTTGTTGACACAAATATATATAAAAAAGCTTTTTATTCCTCTTTGAAATCATTTGCGGTCTTCACAGTGTGGGGGGAGGAACTCGGTATTTGCTGATCTACCAGTAAGCCTACCAGTTGTTTGGAAAAATCCAACGATTATCTTCGGTGCAGATGTTACTCATCCTAGTGCTCTAGATGATACTGCCCCATCCATTGCTTCTGTAAGATTTATTTTCTTCAATCAATGGACATCATATACAATAGTTTATTTTCTAAACATTTTTGTGATTTGTGAATTTCCATTTAGGTTGTTGCCTCCCAAGACTGGCCTGAGGTGACCAAGTATCATGGTGATGTTCATGCACAAGGTCACCGCGTAGAGCTCATTGAAGGCCTTGAGGGCATTGTAAAGTAAGTTTTTTCATGAGGTGCACCTAAATTTAAAATATGCATACCACACACGGCAGTTGGTTACTCTTCTTTTCTTTTCTTTCAGGAAGCTGCTACTTTCGTTTGAAAAGCAATCCAAACAGAGGCCGCAGCAGCTGATATTCTATAGGTTCATAATTCCCGCTTGTTTTGATTGGTGTTCTTTTGGTCATCATTCCAAAACCCTTACACTGGTTTCATTTCATTGCTAGGGATGGTGTAAGTGAGGGTCAGTTCAGAAAGGTTCTGGAGGATGAGATCCCACTGATAGAAAAGGTGTGGCTACCAATTTAATGAACAGCAATGCTTGGTGTCATTTGGCCTATTAGAAACATATAATTCATTAACATAACTCCTTGTTTCAGGCATGGAAGGCTTTATACAATGAGAAGCCGCCAATTACCTTCATAGTGGTGCAGAAGAGGCACCATACAAGACTGTTCCCAAGTGATGGCAAATATCAGGACAACAGTGGAAATGTTATGCCAGGTTATTTCACAAATCGCATCTTCAAAATGTCTGATTTCTACGAAATTGTGTTTCTCACATGTTGCTGTAAAATTGCAGGCACAGTTGTTGATAGGCAGATCTGCCACCCAACAGAGTTTGATTTCTTCCTCTGTAGCCATGCTGGTATCAAGGTAATGTTAACACAACATTCATCACATGTAGTAGTTTCTTCTTGATGGTATTGGTATTATCTTAACGAATTGTGAACTTGTCGAACGCAGGGAACAAGCCATCCTGCGCATTACCATGTGCTGCGAGATGACAACAACTTCAGTGCTGATGACCTGCAGTCTCTTACAAACAACCTGTGCTACACGTAAGGGTGCTCTTACCCGTGATATTGTGTGTTTTGCATGTTTTTGCTGTTCAAAAATAATCTGACGTTTTGCTCTTCTCAGGTATGCAAGCTGCACTCGCTCTGTGTCGACTGGTATGGCACTCTTCCCTCTGAGCTCTGTGTTTTAATTCCCATCCTATCATTGTTTTAAATCCCATCCTGTATAGGCTTTATAACATAATTCCATGGTGTCTTGTGCAGACAACATTGATTCCATATTTCTTTGGACACGGATAAACTGTGAATTTAAAACTTAACAACAAAACATACATGAGTTTGGTCCATGATCGAATGTGAAATTAGAGTTCTTCTGTCTCAGATATGGGTTACGTTATTGGCGGTGTAGGTACTATTATCATCTTATGCTCAATTTGACTAACATGTTTTGCTTGTACTTTGCAGCTCCTCCTGCATACTACGCTCATAAACTTGCGTTCCGTGCGCGATTCTACCTAGGCCAAGTCCCAGACATGGCGTTGGAGATAAGCGCCGGCAGTGCACCTCCTCCATTGATGCTTCCTGAGATAAAAGATGAGCTGAAAAGCCACATGTTCTACTGCTAGTCCACACACAAATGAACGAAGCCTGAAGCCTGGAGAACTCTAAAGATTTTATTTCAAGTATACATGGCAACCTGAAGATTTTATTTTGTTTCTGTTGGTTTGATGAACATTGGACTATCTCTAGTCTCTTTAATATTTCCAGAGAATGATTGGTTTATGGCTTTATGCAAGGGTATGAATGGAAAGTTTATGGTTTTGCTATTTGAAGTGATTCAGCATCTTGGTGTCATGTTTAGCATATAAGTTTATAATTTTAAAAAAATCAATAATTGAAACCCTGATTTTGTCCACCATAACACCACACGAGCAAGTGATTACACACAGAAAAAATATTCTGTTTTCAAAATAAGTTGCAGTCTCCGCTGCTTACAATTGAAACTTTCTCAGACCCCTTTTTGTTAGAACTTTCTCAGACCTCAATTGTATAAATACTCCAACCACCCTACCGCCCCTGTAGACCACAATTGAAAATTTCTCAGACCATTTTTGCAAAAGTTTAGTTCAATCTAGAGGTCCCTGTGTGAACGTCTGTGTTAAGCCTGGTTGTGCTTAAGAAAAACCCGGTTCAAAAGCTGGTTCATTTTCACAAAACACCTTGCATTGCCTTGATGTTCTTTCAGTTTTTTCTATCTTCAGAAGATAATGACAAAGAAGAGAGAGGAGAATGTTCCGGCTTGACCGTTATCTGCTTTGGAGTACTTTTTTTCCTTCAACCAACTTCCTTTTTTGTACTTGTGTTATTTTGGATTTTTGTCTCCTTATGTAAACAACTAGGTTGCATCTCCTCTACTTTGTTCGGCTGTAAATGACTTGTCCAAAAATGTCACATACTCCGGCTCTATTTGTCCGCGCGAGACTGTGCGGGTACAGAAAAACCTTGTGCCAAATATCAGTGGGAAGGAGATCGGATTGTCCGCCATTTCGGTCATACATGCCCCCCGCCCCCCAACCTCCCTCCTTTTTCTATTCTGTCCTGCCTTCACTCCAACCTTCCGCCCCCTGTAGCTCAAAATGTGTCTACCCTCCTTCTTCGCTCCCTAACTAGATGCTGTTCGGAAAACACATTCAACACCCTTGCCATTGATGGTGTGCACCTTGACGCCAGAGGAGCACGAGCAACCTCCCCCAACACAATGTCAACCATACTTGGTGGTGTGTTGAGCTCCCGACGTTGCCCCGGCCTCCCCATCGTAGATTGACGTTGTCTTGATTTATGCTCTTAATTGTTTTTGATGTTATTAAAAACGTAATTGATTGTTTTAACCATTTGCTTGAGTCTATGAACAAAAGAAGCACCGATGGTTGGACGCCCCCACCCCATTTCAAAAATGGAAAAGAAACGGTTCGTGATGTCTTATATTTTATTTGACCAAGCTCAAAACGGCATTCTAGAGTATGATGACCAAGCTCATCACCTTGGGATTGATCATGTTCCTTACAAATACGCGCACAGGGGTGACTACCATCAACAATGATGGCAAAGAAAAGAAGTGGTAACGCATATGGATCTGTAGCGAGGATTTGTTTCTCAGGTTGGACGCACGGGCATGTTTGCTAGTGGTACAAATACATCGTATCGGGACCGAAAAGTGCAAACGGTGGACGAGCTCCACGTAGGACTTTAAAAGAAAAGATATTTCTACATCACACAAAAATATATTTTTTCTGTACAAACACAAATACATATATAACATGTTCATGAAAATTTTCAGAACAATATACTTTCATATGTGCCATAGATAAAAAAAAACAGATACGTGCATGAAAGTGGGGCCAACTTTTGTTGTTGTGGGGCTGGGATTTTGTTTTTTTGTTCAGCTTGCATTAACAATATTTTTGAATGGAATTTTACAAATCCGTCGCGAATATATATAAGCTTTCACATATTTTTTAACTTGGTAATATTATTTTGGAATCATTTCAAATAAAGTCCTCCGATGCACCGGTCCACCACAAGTTTGCGCTCCTACCGAGACCTCCTATTTAGTGCTGGCGAACGAGCCAACGTGCACACCCCCTTCCCCACAAGCCCTTCTGGGCCGGACCATGTCCGGGCGGGACGCCGCCTGTTTTTATTTTGTTTTTTTCTTTTCGTTTTTTCTTCCCCTTTTTTACTTATTTATTAAAATATTTCAAGATTTCAAAAAAGTCCAAATTTAAAAAAAGTGGATTTAAAAAAATTCAAGAAAGTATAAAATGTCGATGTGTTTTAAAAAATGTTTGCATATTCATAAAAATGTCATGATTTATTTAAAAAACATTGGGAAATCAAAAAATGTTAACCCCCAGAACAAAATTTAGGAGCACTTGGACTTGGCCGACTGTACCATATCCAGTAAACGCCTGTGTTGTCCAAAACACCTTTTGTAGGATCGAAAGTATGTTTAGAGGGGGATGATTAGACTACTTGACCAAATAAATATTTAACATTTTCTCAATTTTAGTTGTGGGCAGATTTTAGCAATTAGCACAAGTCAAGCAATCAATCTACACATGCAATTTTGAGAGTGTAGCAGCGGAAAGTAAAATATTGCATATGAAGGTAAAGGGAAGGGTTTGGAGAAGGCAAACATAATGGAAACATAAAGATTTTTGGTGTGGTTTCGATAGATGGTGCTATCGTACATCCACGTTGATGGAGACTTCAACCCACGAATGGTAACGGCTGCGCGAGTCCACGAAGGGCTCCATCCGCGAAGGGTCCACGAAGAAGCAACATTGTCTATCCCACCATGGTCATCGCCCACGAAGGACTTGCCTCACTCGGGTAGATCTTCATGAAGTAGGTGATCTCCTTGCCCTTACAAACTTCTTGGTTCAACTCCACATCTTGACGGAGGTTCTCAAGCGACACCTAACCAATCTAGGAGACACCAATCTCCATAAGGTAATAAACGGTGTGTTGATGATGAACTCCTTGATTTTCTGCTTCAAATGGTAGTCTTCTCAACACTCAACTCTCTCTCTCATAGATTTGGATATGGTGGAAAGATGATTTGAGTGGAAAGCAACTTGGGAAAGGCTGAAAATCAAGATTCTTATGGTAGGATTGGTATATCTTGATCTCAACACATGAGTAGGTGGTTCTCTCTTAGAAAATGTATGCTGAAAGTGTACGCACGTGCTGATAGCCCTCTCTCGTATGGAGAGGGAGTGGAGGGGTACATATACCCTCCACTCAAAATTCAACGGGCACACACATTTGACCAATCTCGGTGAGACCGAATAGCTAAACTCAGTGGCACCGATTAGTTAAAAAATGTGAACATTAGGAATCTTAGTGGGACCGATTGGAACAACTCGGTGGGACCGATGTGCTAGGGCTTAGGGTAAACCTCATCTTGGTGCCGCCAATTGTATCAACTCGGTGAGACTAAAGTAAAGCAATAAGGCAACAAAAGACTTGTTCAAGCCATCTCGGTGAGACCGATTGCAATTTCGGTGAGACCGAAATAATTGCAACTGATAACAATGAGTTGGCAAGGCCATCTCGGTGAGACCGAGATCAGTATCGGTGTGACCAAACTGTTAGGGTTTCTAGCTGTGGCTATGTCATATGAACTCGGTGGCGCGGGATAGAAAGAATCGGTGGGGTCGAGTTGGAGTTTAGGGTTTTGACATATTTGGGTGGAGAAAGTGGTTGAGGGTTTTGGAGCAATATCACTAAGCATTCGAGCAAGCAAACCATTAAGCAACACCTCACCCCCTTTTAATAGTAGTAACTTTTCTATGGACTCAATGTGATCTTGGATCACTAAAACAAAGATGAAGAGTCTTGAGCTTTTTCCAACATGTGCCCTTAGCATTTTGAGGGGTCCACATCTCTAGTCCATGTCATGCCATTCATTGAACTTCCTGAAATATTTATCTTAAATGGATATTAGTTCAACGAGCTATATGTTGTTATGAATTACCAAAACCACCCAGGGATTAGTTGCACTTTCACCTTTGCACTTCATGAGGCCTTGATGTTTTTTCTTTTACATTTTTTCTCTTTTTTGTTTTTGATTCTAATAATAGAAGATAATGACAAAGAAGAAAGAAGAGAATGTTTCGACTTGACCGTTGTTAGCTTTGAAGTACTTTTTTCCTTCAACCAACAACAATAACAAACAACAACAACAACAAAGCCTTTAGTCCCAAACAAGTTGGGGTAGGCTAGAGGTGAAACCCATAAGATCTCGCAACCAACTCATGGCTCTGGCACATGGATAGCAAGCTTCCACGCACCCCTGTCCATAGCTAGCTCTTTGGTGATACTCCAATCCTTCAGGTCTCTCTTAACGGACTCCTCCCATGTCAAATTCGGTCTACCCCGCCCTGTCTTGACATTCTCCGCACGCTTTAGCCGTCCGCTATGCACTGGAGCTTCTGGAGGCCTGCGCTGAATATGTCCAAACCATCTCAGACGATGTTGGACAAGCTTCTCCTCAATTGGTGCTACCCCAACTCTATCTCGTATATCATCATTCCGGACTCGATCCTTCCTCGTGTGGCCACACATCCATCTCAACATACGCATCTTCGCCACACCTAACTGTTGAACATGTTGCCTTTTAGTCGGCCAACACTCCGCGCCATACAACATTGCGGGTCGAACCGCCGTCCTGTAGAACTTGCCTTTTAGCTTTTGTGGCACTCTCTTGTCACAGAGAATGCCAGAAGCTTGGCGCCACTTCATCCATCTGGCTTTGATTCGATGGTTCACATCTTCATCAATACCCCCATCCTCCTGCAACATTGACCCCAAATACCGAAAGGTGTCCTTCCGAGGTACCACCTGGCCATCAAGGCTAACCTCCTCCTCCTCACACCTAGTAGTACTGAAAATGCACATCATGTACTCGGTTTTAGTTCTACTAAGCCTAAACCCTTTCGATTCCAAGGTTTGTCTCCTTAACTCTAACTTCCTATTTACCCCCGTCCGACTATCGTCAACTAGCACCACATCATCCGCAAAGAGCATACACCATGGGATATCTCCTTGTATATCCTTGTGA